AAAAAAAAAAAAAAGAAAAAAGAAAGTAACTTATGTGGAAAAATGCTACATAAATGGTATATTAACATTTTGAAAGCGTTTTCCATCTTTCAAGCTTTAAAATCTTTGGTCCACAAACCATATCCAAAGATGCTAGCAATTAAAAAACAAACTCTTCTTAAGCTTATAGCAAATAAATCTATATACCCATTTTTGCCATGGTTCAACTATGAAAGCTTCTACCAGTTCATTTTGTAAAAGTCTGGGCTTCCCAAATTAAATTTAAAGAATTGTGATGATTCACACAGACTTTATACTGCTATAAGAAAGCAATGAACAAATTTAATCTGATGGAACCTGTAGGTCCTAAACCATAACTTACTTTTTCTATTCCCTTTCTTATGGATTATCACATAGGAAAAGGAAAAGTCATCTATAATGCGATCCCAAAATGCAAGTAAACCTGCTTTGGTGAACTGCTGATTTGAAGGGATACAACTGTGATTTGTAATATTTGTAAAAAGGCTCAATATCACTAGCACACATCCCCATCTTTGCTTTTACCCCTATTACTCGTCTTACTTCTCTTCTCTGCCTCTCTTTATTCACTCTCTTTCCTCATATATCCCATTCTTCTTACTTCCTTAGAAAAGCAGAACGAATTAACCTCATAAATATTCTAATGGACATAGTTCAGAATGGATACCTCCCTATACAATCCCACCACAACTATCAAAGAATTTCACAAAGGGTTTTTCAAAAAGAGTTCTTGTAGGGTATATGACATATTTTGTTTATACAATTTTTCAGTAAAATATTTTATAAAGGCAGACTTATACTAAGAAAATAATGTTTCAACCCTCCTACAGTAGAGTTCCTTGTCCTTCATTTATTCCTTCACAGATTTTTCTAATCCCCTTTGGCAAAGTATTTAACCAGTTTTTAGCCTTCAGCTGATTGCCATGACTCTGCAACTATACTACAAACTTATAATAGCAAATTATTTGTTACCCTCCATTATGCAAAGTGCAACAGACTCTCAATATTTCTTTACTGCAGGATCAGAACTACCCATACAACCATGTTTAATATTTACTCTGTTACAAGGCCAGGTGCGGTGGCTCACGCCTGTAATCTCAGCACTTTGGGAGGCCGAGGTGGGCAGATCATGAGGTTAGGATATCGAGACCATCCTGGCCATGGCAAAACCCCGTCTCTACTAAAATATAAAAAATTGGCCAGCCGTGGTGGCACATGCCTGTAATCCCAGCTACTCAGGAGGCTGAGGCAGGGAAATTGCTTGAATCCCAGATATGGAGGTTGCAGTGAGCTGAGTTCATGCCACTGCACTCCAGCCTGACGAAAGAGCAAGATTCTATCTCAAAAAAAAAAATTTACTCTGTTACAGGAACAACTAAGAAAAACAATCAAGGTACATACTCACTAAACCAATTGTAGTAAGATTTTCATTCTATACCACACCTATTGTTTTGACAAAACAGAGATGGTTTCAATCTTTTCTACCTCATAGACTATGGAATCTTGAAGATGCGCGCCCGCACATACATACATACACACACACACACACACACACACACACACACACTCCTAGAGTTCAAAAGAAACACACTAGAAAATAAGCTAAAACTTGGCCAGGCACGGTGACTCACGCCTATAATCCCAGCACTTTGGGAAGCCGAGGTGGATGGATCACAAAGTCAGGAGTTCAAGATCAGCCTGGCCAACACAGTGAAACCCCACCTCTACTAAAAATATAAAAATTAGCCAGGCATGGTGGCACGTGCCTATAATCCCAGCTACTCAGGAGGTAGAGGCAGGAGAATTGCTTGAACCCAGAAGGTGGAGGTTGCGGCAAGTCGAGATTGTGCCACAGCACTTCAGCCTGGGTGACAGAGCAAGGCTCCATCTCAAGGGAAAAAAAAAAAAAAAAGGCCGGGCGCGGTGGCTCAAGTCTGTAATCCCAGCACTTTGGGAGGCCGAGGCGGGTGGATCACGAGGTCAAGAGATCGAGACCATCCTGGTCAACATGGTGAAACCCCGTCTCTACCAAAAATACAAAAAAAATTAGCTGGGCATGGTGGTGCGTGCCTGTAATCCCAGCTACTCAGGAGGCTGAGGCAGGAGAATTGCCTGAACCCAGGAGGCGGAGGTTGCGGTGAGCCGAGATCGCACCATTGCACTCCAGCCTGGGTAACATGAGTGAAACTCCATCTCAAAAAAAAAAAGAAAAAAAAAAAAAAAAAAAAAAAAAAAAAAAAAAAAAAAAAAAAAAAAACTAAAAAAAAAAAAAAAAAAAAAAAAAAAAAGCTAAAACTCACAGCTAAGAATGGTCATTAAAGCAAATATGTAGGCAATTTGAAACATTTAGGACAATAGGCAATACCAGGGGCTTTTCAGTGACCAATCCCAAGACTATAATATAGCAATTTCTATTTTCTCCCACTTTTAATAGCATTGTACTTCAACTTTAAAGCACAGAATAGGTGGATTCAATAACTACCACTAAAAACTAAATAATATTTTAAAGCAACTGACAGCTAGTTAAAAGTATTATCAATAGCAATTCTCAACATCTACTTATAAGAACAACAGTTTGATACCTAATGTTACCTAACTTTTTCCTGGGGAAAAACATTATTCTAGGTTCCATAATTTATCAACATAGCAAACAGTAAAGGCTGAGAAGTTTTAAAAGGGGAGTAAGTATGAATAAATTTAACTGAAGCTGAAGTACCAACTACGGAACTAAAAGGTAAGTCTAACCGGAAGCATGTTTCCTTTTTGACAAATACCCTATTCTTTCTGCCTTTTATTACTCAAAATTCCTCTATTCCTAATTGCTGGAATGACAGAAAATACACTTACTGAACAATAAATACTTCTTTCTGGTCCTCTTACAAGCCAGAACCCATTAAAAATCAAAACCACACCAAAATATAATGGCAAAAAAGTGTTCAATCCCCAACTAGTAGCTCTCGTTTATCTCAAGGATTTTTTTTTAATCAATATCCTAAGAAAACAAATTTTGGACAACTCCTGGGAATACATTATAAGGGACTGATCCCATATAAACCAAGTCAGATGAGCAGGAAAAATATAGAGACAAGAAATGTGCCATGGTTCATCAGAAATGCAGAAAGTCAAACAGTTCATCTATACTACCTTCTTTCTGCCTTGACAACTTACCATAGCCATCATGTCTAAACGAAGAAGGGTGTTCTCCCAAAATGGCTTGTCTCTGGCGACCCTTTCCTCTATCTGACACAAAAGTAGAAACATGGTTTTAACAAATTTGACCCAAGTACATAACAGAGTTCTCAAATGGGAAACACCCATTCAAAACATCCATTACAACAATTCATAAAAGAAATGTGATTCCTGGTTAACTTTAAACATCCATTCATATCCAATTTAAATACAACACCAAGAGTGTAAAAAATAATTCTATCTAACAAATTCCACTTAACTTGAATAGATCTTTTTGGCAAAGGCTAAATACAATCACACTTTCAAATTTAAGGAAGAATGGATACTTTTCAGAAAGTGAACGTACACAATGCTAGATTTGACATTGTACAGAAGCTTTTACCAATACATGTCTTTAAAACAAGCTTTAAGTGCAGTACTTTTGAAAGACAGTACCTGAATCATACTATTAGCTTCAACAGCAACACATTTTCAAAGTGGGCTTCTTTCAAGAAGTTTCAGCATAAGCCAACAACAACCTGTATTACATGGTTTCACAATCAGTAAACACAGAGTATTTTATATGTATATGCACATATTTACAAACACCTACTGACTTGAGAGCTGAAAATGTTCACATCACTGGCTTGTATTATATCATGAATAAGTCATTGTCTATTGACCTTAACACCAGGCAGGACTATAAGCAACCCCCAAACTTTAAAGATGCCAAGATATAGCTAACCAAGGGGGCTACATTATTGGATGAAAATACTACAATACTCTAAAGGATAATTTTTATTCTAGCTACATTTTCAGAAAAGGCATGCCAATTTTCCCAAATCTAATTAGAGACATCAAAAAAATTACCTACAGGTTTCTAAAATAGCACCTCCTATGTTGGTTAGTAAATTTTAAAAATCATTATATAATACTTGTAGAAAGTTTAGTGATCAAATTACAGAGCCCAATATGATTTTTAAAAATATGTATCTTAAGACTCTGGTCATTCTGATCCTTGAAAATTCAGAGAGGCTTTACCTATATCCTTAGTCACCTAAACAAATGAGATTTATGGGAGATGAGAAATACTTTAATTTTCACTTCAGTCTAGAGAAGTAGAGTTTTAATCACTATTCCAAGTTATTACAGCATTGAAAGGGACTGAGGCCATATGGAAAAATTCTCTTTACATCATTTCTATCAGTTAGGACCATCTAGCTTCTGCTTACCCAGTAACTACTGTGTGAGAACATTAATATTTATATTATATAGAAATTGAGCCGGGCGCGGTGGCTCAAGCCTGTAATCCCAGCACTTTGGGAGGCCGAGGCGGGTGGATCACGAGGTCAAGAGATCGAGACCATCCTGGTCAACATGGTGAAACCCCGTCTCTACTAAAGCTACAAAAAATTAGCTGGGCATAGTGGTGCGTGCCTGTAATCCCAGCTACTCAGGAGGCTGAGGCAGGAGAATTGCCTGAACCCAGGAGGCGGAGATTGCGGTGAGCCGAGATCGCGCCATTGCACTCCAGCCTGGGTAACAAGAGCGAAACTCCGTCTCAAAAAAAAAAAAAAAAAAAAAAAAAAAAGAAATTGATCCTCTACCCATATTCTACTCCATCTGGGGCCTTACAGACTTAGTCTTTGTCCAAAACCTCTTCTAAATGTTCGAGAAGTTATTATGACTTCCCATTCCCCCAAAGTCATTTCTTCTTCAATCTTAACATTCACAATTTCTTCTACTACACGGCTTCTAATGTCTCTCATCATGTCTCACTCTTTTTGAGCTAATCTGGTCTACTAATCCATTCTGTCAATGTTCCTCTGCTTAAGCATATGCCATCAAACACTAATTCCTTATCTGACCTAGGAATGTTAAAACCAAAACAACCGTAACGTCATGACTCAGTTTTATTGATACAATTAACAGTGCACTTTATTATAAAGGAAAGAGAACTGGGTTGGGAATCAGATGATTCCAACTTTACCATTAGTTTACTATATAGTAGAAGAAACTCACAATTTTCATTCATAAAATGAAGGAGTCAGAGTAGATGATCTCCAAGGTATCTTTCAGCCAAACATTCCCATTAATAATTCACTTCATTTGAAGTATTCACTACCTAATATAAGGTTGCGTAAAACAGAAGTGAGCAGAAAGTCAAACACTAAATATATCAGTTTCTAAATGGTGGTAAGCTTTCCTAGAGTCAACTGATCTGATGGAAGCTGTGGACCTTCTCCCCCAAAAGATGCACCTATCTAAAGGTTTTGCTTAAGATTTCTGGAGGGGTTTCCTGGAGTCCTGGTTAGGAATTCTTTACACTAAAATGTAATTCGAGCTGAAAAGGGCTTTGAAAAAAAGTGAAGTTATGTTTTTAAAACAGTTCCTTCTTTTGGTTGAAAAAATTTTGTGAAGGTCTTTATTTGGGGATAGCAACCTAACAGTTTCAATAGCTATCAAATGGATTGCAAGCTATGAGCTCTACGGAAACAAAAACATAAACTGTTATGATCTTGCAAGACAAGTATCTGTAAGAAATTAGAAAACAAAAACTTTTTTTCCTTGAAAGCGTAAACTAAAACTGTTTTACTTGCTTTAATTATATTTCACTATTTACATATCTACCTTATACATTTCTAAACTTATTTGACTAGAATTGTATGAAGAACTAACCTAAGCTGGCTTTGTGTAAACTCTTTTAAAAGAATAGATGTAAACAATGTTAAAATAAGAAGCATTATCTATACATGTTTTAAGAGACCCTGAGAAAAATGCAACCAAAACTATTTCAAATGAAATTTTTTTAAAAAACAAAACCGAGTGGTCGATAACTGTAAACTGACAGAAGTGAGAGATTTCTCATCAACCACTTGTCCTGTTGTTTGAGTGCTAAGGATTTGTTTTCTAATACTGACTTCAACTGCACCAACCCTAGGCCAAGCAGATTGCATAAGTAGTAAAAAACATGGGGTCTAGCCAAAGCTGCATTACAAAACAAACCTATTTGCAATTTCATGCATAAGGCAAGATGATTTCCTGGGAATTGTTAAAGAAGCCAATCACCTAAAAGTCCTAAATACGCAAACATGCAAAAGATCAGTCATCACATTGTCTTTTTCTTTTTGCTAGAGTACATGCACTATAGAGTACCCACACTAGAGTACCCACTGCCCAAGATATTTTGTATGCCATAAAATTTTTTTCTAGCTACTTTTACAGACATATTCATCTTGAGTTTTTCCAACCTGTGGTTCAAACACTGATATTGTAGTTAAGATGTAGCCAATACTGCAGCCCCCTTGTTTTTACAAGATCAACATTTTAATTTGTATATTCCAGAATTGCCACACAGTTAGTTGAACAATTTTATCAGTCAAATTTATGCTCATGAAATCTAGCATTTATAGGTGAAGATGCATCTCAAAAGAAATGCTCTTATTTTCAGATTTATCAAGTTTATATATATTCTACCTTGAACAGACATGGTTCACCTACATTTGAAATGTCAAAATTTCTAGTTACACAAATTGACATAAGCCATAACCTTAAATTGTTACAAAAAGTGACAACTTATAAACAGCCACTTTACAAAAATCAAACCACACAGAAGAATGTCTTTCACATATAATGCACCTTTTCATTATGTTAGAATTTCTGTTCCATGTCCACAATTGAGGAAAAAAACAAAAAATTTAAAAAGTAAACAAGTGCAGCAAGTGTGCACCTTTCTCATCCTTTTACTTTTACTATCTGTGTGGATTGGTTGAGCGTTATCAATTCCCAAGACCTATTAATAAACTGGTCCTGGTTATTTGCCAATTAACAATTTGAATCTAAGCTGCAAACAGTTACAGTAATGGGCATTAAGATTTACAACATTGCAGATGAAGTCTAGTTTCCCTTAGTGGAGAGTCTTAAATTCTACAACTGAAACCTTAAGGGAAATCAGACCAATATACACATACAACTTGAGTAAATGGGCACAGTCTATCATGGTGTTCATCCCATGCAATTCTGAAGTACTCTTAAGTGTCCTCCTTTAAAAACTTGGGGTGATGGTGCATGCAGTATGCAGTCAAGGTGAATTGCGAGTCTGAGTTTTTCAGAGGGCTTTTTGCTGATGCCGATGTTGTGCATGATGAAGTGTAGAGTCAGCCTGCAGGTCCTCTATCCTTCTTAATGCCTCGTCCAGCTTGGGGGGAAAGTCCTTTCCATAGAGAAGCAGTGTGCAAGTCTGCAGTTTGTAAGGAATATTCTGAATCAGTTTCCTCTCCTCCAAAGAGAGAGAGCTGCTTGGAGAAATGCAAGTCCTTGAACTGCGGGCGTGCCTGAATGTGTGGGCTCCTTGTTGAACTAAATATAAATAGCTCAGAACATACCAGTAGGGGGCACTAATGTTCAAGGTTATTTTCCAGCATTACATGGCCTCTTGCAACAAAAGCATTCACCAAGGTTTTCATTTGAATTAACTAGCTCATCTCAGGAAAAAAAGAATCTAACTGCATATAAGAATTTGTCAGCAGATTAAGTACATTCTAAAATGCATAAAATACCTACCTCGTCTTCCCAAATATGGTTTAGTGTAGTCCCAACTGTCATTGTCATTCCTAATAACATTTAGACGAGTTGGCTGTTGAGATTGAAAATAAAGTAAGTTCAAATTCTATATCCAAAGCATAAATATTTCTTTGGTAGGGTGTTGAAAAAAAAATATTTACCCGTGCATATTCAATTTTTAGTGTGCAACATCCAGCATATATATCGGCTCCATTGAGTGCTGCTTTAGCTTTCTGGGCACAAAGGACTGATTCAAACATAAGCTCTATTAAGGAAATTTGGTTTAAAGTATCTGATAATCATTATTCACTCCCAAAGGACAGAACTGAAAATAATCAGAAGTAGCGCTTTTACTTCTGGAAATGTTTTACCAATTTCAGGATGAATTTTAGGAAATTTTATTTTTAAGATCAAGGGTGGCTAGGTGCAGTGGCTCACGCCTGTAATCTCAGCACTTTGGGAGGCCAAAGTGGGTGGATCACCTGAGGTCAGGAGTTCAAGGCCAGCCCAGCCAACATGGTGAAACCCTGTCTCTAACAAAAATACAAAAATCAGCCAGGCGTGGTGACAGGTGCCTGTAATTCCAGCTACTCGGAGGCCAAGACAGGAGAATTGCTTGAACCTGAGAGGCAGAGGCTGCAGTGAGCCAAGATCGTGTCACTGCACTCCAGCCTGGGCAACAAAGATCAAAACTCCGTCACAAAAAAAAAAAAAAAAAAAAAAAAAGATCAAGGGTACCAAAGAAAACATAATACAACCAAACTATCTACCTTAATTCTTTTAAGTCATCATTAGTACTTTATAAATTGGAAAGCAGAGGACATAATGGAGCATGGTCCCATTTCCTAGCAAAGGACAACTTGCGACCTTGAAACAGAAAATATTTTACTCTTTAAGAACACTACAAAAAAACAAAATAATACAAAACAAATATATGATTTTACATATTTTTGAGCAGGCAGAGTTTTATCATAATTTATCTAAAATTTTATCAGTTTTTTAAAAAATTACTTAAGTCCATAATTTTTAAAAAAATCAAATCACAAAGGTATATAAAGTAAACAAACAAAAAACAAAAATACCTTGTCAGAAGTAAGTATTGTTAAAGAGTTTGCTGTATATCCCTACCTTTTCCTATGCATACACATGCACACATAGGTTGGGGTTTTCTCTTTATTATTGTTATTTTTTTAGGATGGGTGTGTACTGTCTATACTATTTTGTAACTTGCTCTTTTTACTCAACATATGACAAATTTAACATAAAGAAGTAGCTCTTACATAAACCATGACCATTTAAAAGGCTCAATAAAAAAAGGTAAGAAAGATTTTACTGACTCTAAAGTTTTGGTACTGCCAAACTATTTTAAGAGGGAGTTAGAAAAGTTCATTAGGGATAAATTCCAAAATGGTACAAGTGTACACATCTTCAAACAGTGTTACGTAACAGCTTAAATAAAGAGGAAGCACCAGATTGCTTTCGGGTAGCAAGTTATTCTTATCATAAATAGTAAAATATCCTATGAGCACTGCAGTTTCAATTTTTAAATCTAAGTCAAGTAGATTTTTGTGAGAGAAGGTAAACACCACTTGTCTAGAAATGGTTAAACCAGAAAAAATAAGATCCATATGAATTACACATCAATAAAAATTTACAAATAAAGGATATTCAACCATTGCTTGTATCCCATTTCTCTTGAATATAACAATACGTTGCACTTTTCCGACAGGGTTGCATACAGTATATAAAACATCCTATGAAGGAAAAAGACAAGACTTCTTCACACTTTACATCTGGTAAAACATTAAAGCTATACTTTGTTTTACCTAAAAACCATCAACTGTCAAGATGTCATTTCTATTAATTATTAATGAAATTAATTTTTTAAATTATGACTTTTTTTTTTTTTGAGACAGGGTCTCACACTGCTGCCCAGGATAGAGTGCAGTGGCTCAATCACAGTTCCCTGCAGGCTGAAATGATCCTCCCATCTCAGCCTCCCAAGTACCTGAGACTTCAAGGCATGCACCACCATGAGTTAATTTTTCATTTTTTTGTAGAGACAGAGTCTCACTATGTTGCCTATGCTGGTCTCAAACTCCTGAGCTCAAGGAATCCTACCACCTCAGTCTCCCAAAGTACTAGGATTATAGCCGTGAGCCACCATGCCTGGCCTAAAATTATTACACTTTAATAAATCTTAAGTTGTTTCCTCACATACACAATATACTCACATTAAAGTTCCAATGGAACATTTGGAAAGTACTTTCATCTATTTTATCTCATAAATGCATTCTCAATTTTTATTTTCTTAACAGGTAACTAAAATAACTTGATAACATAAAATAAACCAAAACTATAATCAATATTTTTTTCTAAATGTGACACTGAAATGTTTAATATTCTAATCACTTGAGTTATAGTAATAAATATGTATTAAGAAATCACATTAGAACAACTCTGATATTCATTTTCCAAGGGACAATGGCTATAAAGAAAAGACCCAAGGGAGTTTATAAAGTTAGATGTCACTAAACAAGACACCCGAGTCATCTAAGAAAGAATCTAAGTATCTACTTAGGAGTAATTATTCAACTATCAAGAAATTTCTTGAGCACCTATAATTTACACAGCTGCATTGTTACACACCAGAGATATAATAAAAAACAAATCAGAGTACCTACACTAGGTAAGTTATATGTTTCCCAACACCAAATATTGTAAACATATTAATACTATTAAGTCTGTAAATATTTAAAATAAATACAAAGCATCTAATTAAATCTAAAGAATATCTTATGCTTTCAGTTTACATCCCAAGATCATATGCCCAGACTACATATAATGCCAACTGCAATTTCTCTTACTATGATGCCCTTCTATGCCTTACAAAAATCAAATGTCTGTGTTACTAGCTTAATATGAAACAACATGTGAGTAGGAAGAAAACTGGTCCAGGAAACAAATCCTTTTTAAAAATTCTACCAATAACGCTTTTTAAAAGAGTAAAGAAGTAGGGAATTTAAAGTAAATCAAAGAAAGATTAACAAGCTATTGCAAAATAGTTCATAATGATATGTGCATCTTACTGTAACATGGGATTCTGTCATGACATAGTAGATGTTCTTATACATATGCTGGCAAAGGCGTGAAAGATTTTTTTGAACTATTTCGAACAAGTCTCTCTGTAATTCCCTATTAACAAAAATGGTACTGGTACTGATTACACATTAAAAATTTCAATGTGCCTATTTAATTATTATAACTGTGTTTATCTTTTTTTTTTTTTTGAGATGGAGTTTCACTCTTGTTACCCAGGCTGGATTGCAATGGCGCGGTCTCAGCTCACTGCAACCTCAGCCTCCTGGGTTCAGGCAATTCTCCTGCCTCAGCCTCCCAAGCAGCTGGGATTACAGGCATGCGCCACCATGCCCAGCTAATTTTTTGCATTTTTTAGTAGAGGCCTTCAGTGCTCAGCATTTTTTCTTTGTTCATTAAACTTAATAGCAAAAATTAAGATTAATTTTCATAATTAAAAAAAACTATTTTCTAGTATCTAGATGGCAATGAAAAAACTACAGATCAGTCACTCTAGAGGCAAACTGCAAAATCACTTTTAATTTCATCTGTCATACTAAAATACATACCACTGTAATTGGATAAAGTGGATTCTGAATTGAGAGCAGAAGAACTTTGTTGCCTCCTGATGGATCATCAGTATTTCCTGGCCGAGTGATCCTTTTGCTTGTAGAATAGTTGAAAAAAGCCTGTTGACCAGCAATGTACACAGGTTCATCTGCAGCAAATGTCACACATTCTTTGGCACTGTCTATGTTTTCAAATTCCACTAGAGCCTGTCGTTTAAATGGCATCATCATCACATAGCTGAAAAGGGAGGTAAGGAGGAAATACACAAACACAGCAAGTTCCATTAACATTATTTGTCCTCAATTAAGTAAAAGCAAACACAAACTTTAATAAAAATGTGTCAAATCCCACAGATTAGTATTCTTCACTACCTGTGTCCAATGTAAGTGAACTCTTAAATCATCCAAAGAATTGTGGTACACCAAGTAGATGGTACACATATGAAAGTTTATCTCTAATCTTGACAATTCTTCAAGCGATTAAGTTTATCTACCTCATGACCTCCTCAAACACAATTTCCTGTTATTAGTTACTAACAACACAACCCAGTTTATTCTTTGGGGTGCTACTCCAAAGCAGTATTAGAAAATATCAAAGACACAAACCAACGGAGATAAAACTCAACAGAAGGTCGGCAGACAAAGTCCCTACTTAACAGCAGAAACTACTACCTCTCTTCAATTATTTTCTTGAATGAAAAACCACACTAATAGCTAAGAACTGACTATACTTTTAAAACAGAGATAAATATAAATGAAGCAACCACAGACTGACCAAAGTTCCAAAGTTGATACAAATAATCTCCTCCAAAACATTTTAAATATCCATGAAAATGATTCATTAGAATATGGCAATCATGGTTGCCTATGAAAAGATGTTTACTTTTCATAGTATACTCTTTACTAGAGAAACAAAGCAGCCAAAAAAATAATAATAATAACCCCAAAACATAATACAGCACATTCTTTTTGGAAGAATATATTTTAATACAGGAAATGAAGAATAAAAAAGTGAAGGAAGGGTAGAAGACAGAAATCACAGCACATGAATCACAATGGGGTAAATATGTCCTCTATTTACAGGAACGAGAATCTTAAAAATGCTTTAAAATACAGGTAAGTGTTTTTTATAATAGCAGAAGGTCAAAGAAATGTTGGGCAGGTACTCAGTGATATCACTGCTTCTTAACCACGCATCCAGGACCCACTGCTATACTATGGAAACTGACAAATGGTACAGTATTAATAAGAAACAGATCACTGTACAGCCTTGCAAACTATTATAATAAATCTCAGCTTCCTCATTTACAAAACTTAGAGAATTGTCAAGATTACAGTTACTACACACAAACTACTAAGCAGATTGCCTTGCACATTGTAGACCCTCAATAAGAGGTAACTATTACTGTACTTTTTTTTTTTTTTTTTTTTACAGATCTTGCCTCATTCATCTTTATGTCCTAAGAGGCTAGAAACAGAGCCTGGCACATATTTGTTAGTCTAGGGGGATTGTTATTTTTCCCCACCTATATCACTCAAAATTAAAGAAGTACAAAAACAAGGCCTTGGATTTAAAGATTTACCAACTAAAAGTGCAAAATATAAATCCCTAGAAACATGCCTTTTAGAAACACAGATGCTTCATTGAAGTTCTAAAGTCTTGCACATGGAAAACAGAAAACCATGAAATCAGGTCTATGCTAAACAAATTCAAGAGGAAAACATCTTTCATAAAACAAAAAAGGTGGTTTAATATCTAAATGTATTACTAAGTTTTATATTATGCTAATAATGCCATATGGAAACAAAAAATTATAAAGGTTTTGATATGGTTTGGCTGTGTCCCCATCCAAACCACATGTTGAATTGTGAATTGTGATCACCAGTGTAGGAGGAGGAGCCTAGTGGGAGGTGACTGGCTCATGGGGGTAGTTTCTAATGGCTTAGCGCCATACCCCTAGTGTTGTTTCCTGATAGACTTCTTGCAAGATCTGGTTGTTTGACAGTATGTGGCACCTTCCCCTTTGTGTACACGTGCTCTTTCTCTCCTTCTCTTTTTTTTTTCCTCTCTCTTCTGCTGGCCTTATAAAGATGTGCCTGCTTACCCTTCACCGTGGCTCATTATCTCTGGTCTCTGGTCTTTGCAA